AAACTGTAGTGGCTAGAAAAAGTAACGTACCTACCTAGATAAGGTATTTGCAATGCTGTCTACCTGTTTTTCTCTATGTGCCATAAAATCTCTTTAAACTTCTAGGATGGTTCTTTACACCCTTATCCCTTTATAGCCTTAGGTCAAAAATTTTTCTATGAAAAGAAAGAACTGTTTGCTATGTGAACTTTTGTACTATTAAATATTATATTCGTGTCGACTAGCTAGTTAGCTATAACTTATAACGGTACATACATATAACTTAGATTTTGAACTATTATGGTTCATATATAAAATCGCCAATTAATTTTAACACTCCACTTTTTCATATACGTGGTTATATTATTCGAGGAACTGGGGGTTTCTCAAAAGTGGCCCACCCCTATAATTTTTTAAGTTATTTCAATAAAAAAACGAGATTTCGTATGTTAATATAATATGATATAAATTAGAATTGATTGATATATTCAACTGTTTTCGGTCACTTTCTGTTTCATCGGAAATTACTACAACTTTTGATTTTTAAACGGAACCCTCGGCATTTTTTACTTTATTCTATAGAAAATGACACTCTGAATAGAATGACATATCATATGTCAACTTTTGACATTTTCGCTTTAAAAAATGTATTTTAAATTTCAATCTTAATTGTGTTAAAAACACTAATTTTTAATCAAAGAACCTTGGAAAAATAGATTTGATCGTCTAATGTTTTTAGTGTCTTGTTTTGGTCGATTAAAAGATGGCCAAATCGTATTTTAATCACATATCAATTTTTTCAAATAGAACGATGGCGGCTCATTAGCATATTTGGAAAAAGCTTTTATTTAAATGATTTGGTACCACACACTTGGTATTTCGAGTCAAATTGTCGTTATGAACCGCATGTTGCAATTTCAAATAAACCATATTCGAAGTGTCATATTCAGATTGTCATTTTCTATCGAATAAAATAAAAAGTGTTATTTAAACACTCTCGGTATACAAAACTGACTACAGGACATGATGTATAAAAAACTGACTACATAAAAAAATCAGTCAAAATGTCCGGTGAAACAGGAAGTGACTACAATTTTTTATACTAACGTACCAAATCTCGTTTTTTTATCTAAAAAATTAAATAAGTTAGCCACATTTGAGAAACACCCGGTATGTTACCAAGATATGCTACGTCCAGCATAGTCTTTCTGTACAATTCAAGTCTGGCCCCAGTTGTCCAAATACATATAATGTGCTCCACCTATTCACTGCTAAATTTGCTCTATATAGTAAATTATTAATTAAATTTGGAATAATTTAGGAAGAATCCAAAAACGAATGCTACACTAAACGCTATTTTGCACTGTACAACAATAAGTATATAATAAATACACAAATAAGAGTACAGATATATAAAATATTCTTTAAAAATACCTAATCTGTTGCATGAAATGGGCTTTATAAAAATACAAAATTCATAACAAGTTTATAGAAATAAACTACTTAAAAATAGTGATGAGTGATATATCACGCACTGTGATTTAATCACACTGATATCACGTTATCAGTTGTCAAGATAGCTTGCATTAGCTAAAGCTATGGAATAGACTGAAAGTCGTGATCACGTGACGCTTTTAAATCACTGCTGTATCAGTTGTCAAGCTAGCCTGCATTACCTACACCCATGGAACGAACAGATTGAAGATCACGTCAGCTATTAAATCACAGATATTAAAAATCACGGTGTCACTTGTTAAGATAGCCTGCATTACCTGTGGCCAAGGAACAGATTGAAAGTCGTGATCACGTGACGCTTTTAAATCACTGCTATTAAAAATCACGGTATCAGTTGTCAAGCTAGCCTGCATTACCTACAACCATGGAACGAACATATTGAATAAGATCACGTCAGCTATTAAATCACAGATATTAAAAATCACGGTGTCACTTGTCAAGATAGCCTGCATTACCTGTGGCCAAGGAACAGATTGAAAGTCGTGATCACGTGACGCTTTTAAATCACTGCTATTAAAAATCACAGTATCAGTTGTCAAGCTAGCCTGCATTACCTACACCCATGGAATGAACAGAGTGAAGATCACATCAGCTATTAAAAATCACGGTGTCACTTGTCAAGATAGCCTGCATTACCTGTAGCCAAGGAACAGATTGAAAGTCGTGATCACGTGACGCTTTTAAATCACTGCTATTAAAAATCACAGTATCAGTTGTCAAACTAGCCTGCATTACCTGTGGCCAAGGAACAGATTGAAAGTCGTGATCACGTGACGCTTTTAAATCACTGCTATTAAAAATCACGGTATCAGTTGTCAAGCTAGCCTGCATTACCTACAACCATGGAACGAACAGATTGAATAAGATCACGTCAGCTATTAAATCACAGATATTAAAAATCACGGTGTCACTTGTCAAGATAGCCTGCATTACCTGTAGCCAAGGAACAGATTGAAAGTCGTGATCACGTGACGCTTTTAAATCACTGCTATTAAAAATCACGGAATCAGTTGTCAAGCTAGCCTGCATTACCTACAACCATGGAACAAACAGATTGAAGAACACATCAGCTATTAAATCACAGATATTAAAAATCACGGTGTCACTTGTCAAGATAGCCTGCATTACCTGTAGCCAAGGAACAGATTGAAAGTCGTGATCACGTGACGCTTTTAAATCACTGCTATTAAAAATCACGGTATCAGTTGTCAAGCTGGCCTGCATTACCTACACCCATGGAACGAACAGATTGAAGATCACGTCAGAAATCACGGTGTCACTTGTCAAGATAGCCTGCATTACCTGTAGCCAAGGAACAGATTGAAAGTCGTGATCACGTGACGCTTTTAAATCACTACTATTAAAAATCACGGTATCAGTTGTCAAGCTAGCCTGCATTACCTACACCCATGGAACGGAGAGATTGAAGATCACGTCAGCTATTAAATCACAGATATTAAAAATCACGGTGTCACTTGTCAAGATAGCCTGCATTACCTGTAGCCCAGGAACAGATTGAAAGTCGTAATCAAGTCACGCTTTTAAATTTCTGATATTAAAAATAACGGTAGCAGTTGTCAAGATAGCCTGCATTACCTGCCAAGGAATAGATTGAAAGTCGTGATCACGGCACATTTTTAATTACCGATATTAATAAATTACGGTATCAATTACCAGTGTGATTTAACAACCACGCTACCGCTCATCTCTACTTGAAAATAGATTAGTGTTCGTTTTAACAGGGTTTATGGGTACCGTTATACCAAACTTTACAGAATATTCTGTACACTTTAGATACACTGCAGTACGTGCTTGTACGTACATCAAACCAAAGCTTATAGAATATATTACATACCGGGTGCGTCTGAAAAGTGGCTCACCCTTATAACTTTTTTATTTTTTCAGATATAAAATCGAGATTTGGTATGTTAGTATATGACATAAATTAGGATTAATTGACGTATTCAATTGTTTCCGGTCACTTCCTGTTTCACCGGAAATGACAACAACTTTTGATTTTCACTCTCGGTATTTTGTTACTTTGTTCGATAGAAAATGACACTCTGATTAGAATGACATATCATATGTCAACTTTTGACATTTTCAAATATGGTTTATTTGAAGCTGAGACATGTGATTCATAATGACAATTTGACTTTAAATATCAAACGTGTGGTACCAAATTATTAGTAAAAAATGCCTTTTCCAAATATGCTAATGATCCACTCTCGTTCCATTTGAAAAAATTGAGATATGATTAAAAATACCATTTCGGCATCTTTTAACCGGCCAGGACAAGACACTAAAAACATTAGACGATCAAATCTATTTTACCAAGACTCCTTGATTAAAAATTAGTGTTTTTAATACAGCCATGGCACTCTACATTAATATTTAAAATACAATTTTGTTTTAAGCGAAAATGTCAAAAGTTGAAATATGATGTCATTATATTCAGAATATCATTTTCTATCGAATAAAGTAAAAAAATACCGAGGGTGCCATTTAAAAATCAAAATTTGTAGTCATTTCGGGTGTAACAGGAAGTGGCCGAAAATAATTGAATACATCAATCAATCCTAATTTATGTCATATACTAACATACCGAATCTCGTTGTTTTATCTGAAAAATAAAAAAAGTTATAGGGGTGAGCCACTGAGACGCACCCGGTATATCTCTAGTCTGTAGACTTTTACAGCATTCGATAAGATCGGAAAAATGTTATTTACGATAAATTTAGTAAACATTTATACTACAATTCTAGATATGATTATGTGATGACGTTACTGATAGGTCATAATAAACTATAAATTGTCAATAATATGCATTATGTTGAGTAAATATAACATAATGTGCAGTAAATAATCAGTTTGCTGAAAAAAATCATAAAGTTAAGAGTTAAAAATGATAATAATAAAACAGAAAAGTGAAATTTATTAAATAACATTATTTAAGCGTTTTATTAATAAAAATAATTTCGGTTTTTAGAATTAAAATGTACTTATATCATGATTGGCCCCCAAACTTAAGTGAAAAAATTAATATAAAATTAATTACCCCACATCTTCAACTAATTCTCAATAATTGTTGTTAGGTATGTTAGTTTTAATCATGTTTTAATGCCAAACGACAAAAAAAAGATACAAATCATATAATTTCGAAAAAACGAAAATTATTCAATATATCGATTTTTCGCATAAAAAGTGCATAATAAAACAAAGCTGAAGGAATAATGGCTATGATAAAGAAAAAAAATATCATATTTAGTTTTGGCGCACCCAATGTTTATACCAAGTAAGCTGGTGTTCGATTACGGCATTAATGTATTTTTAAAAATACATCTTTCCTTTTGAAAAACTATAATTTTGGTGTAAAAATATATTTAAAAAAAAATAAAATGTGCGCTTATTACCCACATTTTATAAAAAAGATTTGAAATTAAATTTCACATAGAAAACCTCCAGGTAACCCTGGATTTAAAAATAAACTAAAAACAACTACATACCATATCTCTCATCCAACAATCCATCTTATCCAGGAATAATAATTTTACCCACAAGAGTGCACTAAGATTTAACTAGAAATTTGCACCACAACAAACTTGAATATCATTTGGCAGAGATCGATGCAAAGGAAACAACAGAAAAATGATTGAACTTATAAAAAAAAACATAAAATCCTCACGAAATCATATCCAAATACACTGAGTGCGGCGTGCCCTCGACACTGAAATTCGCGATCGCTAAATGTTTAAACAAAAGAAGCGTCCGTCGCCGTCCTGATTCGAAACGAACTGATTCGCATAGACTCAGCGACTGACAGAAACAAAATAAGCCACGTGGTCGGACAGCAGGAAACATGTTCATTTTTTTCTCTCAAAGTTTGTTTCGTTGATGCAGTTTGGTGTATGTGCATATTTTCATAGAGACAGTGGCGTAACCATGGCATTGGCCTATGTGCCATATGCAGGAGCACAATTTGAAAAATAAAGTTGATGAAAAATAAAGTTGATGAAAAATACTATTACGATCAGGAAAATGAGGTGCTTTCTGAGTATTTAATACAAATCCACCTTGTGGATCAAAAAGCTTAAAGGCTAAAGTCTCGTTTACTTGAAATTAGTTATGTAAGAAATATTTGGCAAAATAAAAACACTAAATCACCACAATACACCAAAACACTTTTACTTTTACACTGGACGCGCGTTTCGCTAACCATGTTAGCATCATCAGCAGATGATTATAAACTCATAGTTTATAGTATATAGTGGTGATTTAGTGTTTTTATTTTGCTGTGTAACACCAAAGGTTCCAAACCTCAACTGTAAGAAATATTTGTTTATTTAGTATTTGGAAGCCTTTTCGAATAGTATGTCATAAAACTTTTTCTGCGAAAATGCATCTTTTGCGAGTTTTTCAACGATAAAATAGCTGAAATCAGGGCTATTTTCGTTTACTTGAAATCAGTTATGTAAGAAATATTTGTTTATTTAATATTTGGAAGCCTTTTCGAATAGTATGTCATAAAACTTTTTCTGCGAAAATGCATCTTTTGCGAGTTTTTCAACGTTAAAATAGCTGAAATCAGGGCTATTTTCGTTTAGAAATATATATAAATTCATTCTAGAAATGTTTCTAAACATAAGAAGAAAATCAATGAATATCTAAAAAACAAATATAAATTAGTAAAACCCAACCAACCCCACCAAATAACTAACTAACCAATGAATTAACAGCCTCCAAATAACCACGCTGACCAAAGCTTAATAGTTGCCTTGCTGTGGCTAGACACTTCTGTTTTAGCTTACAGCGTGTTTTGGTTAGGTTTGTTGGTTCATTTTTGTTTATTTTCGATTTTTTCTCGGTACGGTAATATTGATGTCCAAATTAGAGTATATCTACTAGGTTAAGTTCATACCTACACAAGAAATGTGTATGTAAAATAGGAACACGTTTTCATGTAACTGATTTCAGTTATTCTAAAGTCGGAAAAAAGAGAATAATGCATTTCCGCAGAGAAATTTTTATGATTTTATGTTTAGAGAGGCTTCTATATACTGGACGTTTTGTTATTTTTTTATAAGCGATTTCCAGTAAAAAAAATTGGCGCCGGGAGGCAGGTATAGCAGCCCATACTTGATATTTCTTTTTATCTCAAAAACTGCGACTTTGACTGATTTTGATGTTATTACAAATTTTATTGCAAATATTATTATTCCTAATCTTAAATTGAAAACCGCGTTTCGCTATATATATCGGAAAATGTGATAGTAACAACAGGAAAAAATACGACTTATTATTAGTGTTATTAATCAAAATTAATAATAACCATCACACAAAACATCCCCCTTTAGAATTTTGACTTTATGTCATGAAATGAAAGTAAAAGAAGCGCCCCTTGAGTTTGTTCGCGCACTAAATTCATGAAATATCGAATTTTTTCGAAACATTTTTTTAATTGTAACAAAATAGGTATATTAAAATTACAAACAATTACTCATGTTATTATAAATTATGTATTTTACATACATAAAAACTGAAAAACAAACGTATAAAACAATTTGAATCTTTTCGGGGATTTGGAAAACGAAAAGATCTGCCATTTTTGTTGTCGCAATTAGAAACGCTACAGTTCTCCTTCGCAGGTTTGCGGTCTCGGTCGAAAAAAGCCATTGCAGTTAAATATGAACTATTAAATGAATATTTGTTATTTTTTTAATGACTAGCAGCGCCTCTAGTGTTTGTTCGCACGTTATAGGTTTTACTTCCAGTCATTGCCAATATGCCAATACAGAAAATCTTCTAAAGGAGGATGTTTAGTGATATCCATCTATCAAAGAATGAAATCGAAATTATATTACCATATTTTTTATGAAGAATGTATTTTTCTCAAAATGTCAATAATAAAAAAGCTTTTCCTCTTGTAAAGACAATCCGGGGACATACTGTAGTATAAGTATATGATCTTTAGAATCTTTGTGGGTAAGAAGAAAGAATCTACGTACGCCTATGTATATGTATTATTAAATTTGAAACTGTCATAGTTTTATTAGGAATAGTGAGGAATAGTTACCGCTACAATTGACTTACTATAGAGATAATTTACATTAAACACTGCATGTAAAACCCCTCATAATATCATAAATATTATTATTAAAAATTATAGAAAAATTATTGGTTCATAATATGAAAACTGTTTTCATTCAATTTTCAACCAATATTTTCAATAAGATATTTTTTGAAAATAAATTTCACGTTTCTTCAACAGCCATCTTCTAAAAAAAAAATATTGTGATAAGGAGGCCAAGGGGTCATGGTTTATCTAAAAATTCTTGTTATTAATATTTCGTATTCTGCAATATAAAGTGAAGCGTATGATTTAATTACATAACTGATTTTATGACGTATATTTTTATTAACAAAGCAAGTGTTATTATCCAGAAAATGGTGTTACATTTCTAGATTATAAATATATCTAGGTAACTAACTTTGTTCATCTTAATGTATCAAAAAACATTCGAATGCCATTTTGGGCAAAAATCCACATTTAAATGCCTAGAGGTTTGTTTTTTAATGCAAAACTTTCTATATGTGTCAACTACTTGGTACTACCACAGGTACTACTTAGTACTTGCACTTGAAAGATAAAAAAGAAGCGCAAAAAACTTTGCAATAAAAATCATATCTAACAGAATTAAAAAATCTATATTGTATTTCCAAATTTCAAACATAAGATGTTTGGATAATTTTATTTCTGTTTTTATATATAGATAAAAAAATATCAAGGCCATAATCGAAATTACACTAATCCAAATTAATTTTTCATGCATGTTTATAGTGTCCCAAGTTTGGTTTACCCCTTATCTCAATAAGCCACGATAAAAAACAAAATGTGGTAGGAGAAAAAAATCATTTACAAGTTGTATAATTTACAAAATCCTGATATGTTTATACATACATATGCCAATAAATAATATAATCTATTATTCATGGCCTATACCAACTTAGTCGTCTACCTTGAAGATTAAAAGGTAGGTGAGGTTCAATGTCAAGGCCACACGATATTGTAAAATGTATTTATTTTAGAAAATCATGTTTCTGGATTAACCTTGAATTTAAAAATTAAACAAATCGATCTTCGTAATGTTGGCATAGTCAAGCATTAGATATACACATATACACAATAAGCTTAAAGTATTTTTATAAACTTAAATAATGAGTTAAAAATCATCTAAAAATCTCTAAATTATAAACTTATACTCTCTGCTTTACAAATTACAAATATCTTCATTTCACCCACTGGAAAATTTTAAAAAAGAAACTACATACATACATGATATTTTCATTTTAATTTATTTATTTTAGAGAGATACCTACGATCAGATTATTGCAACAACAATAAAATAGAACACTTTCACCAAAAATATTCTTAAATTTTTAAAACTGTATGGCTTATATAAAATTTAACATATGTAATTTCAATATTAAAACCAAGTGCATAAAAACAAAAACATTACATAATTTTCCAAAACTATAAAACTGTGAGGTAGTTTTAAAGGAGGATAGTTAAATAGAAAAACATTTTAATTCCAGACTATTTTGGTACTTACCAAGTTACACACGATGAAATTTAAACGGTGAAATTGTTTTCATGATGGGCACTTTGAAATATTACCTTTTAAAGAAACTTGACACGATAGTAAACAAACATTATTTTCCAAGGAAAATGACAAAAATCGAAGAAAAACTAGCTTCGCATGCGTTAGAAAGTTCACAAATTTGACATTTTAATGACATTGACAAATATGTCAAATATTATTCACTCTTCTTCTTTTAAAAAAGGCAAGTCAAAGATTGCGTCTTCTTCTTTTAAAAAAGTCAAGTCGATGTTGAATTAGCGTCTTCTCTTTACTGCTAGGGCTAATCTAGACGGAGCTTAACAGCTTATCTGTTTACGCGGAGGAACCCGTTGAACGTTGAACTCAGGTTGAACTTGATTCTCGATCACTTCTCTCATCTTAAAATGATCGCATCTCTGTGCAAGCCCTATAACCATACCTATAACTACATATACTGTATAATGTGTACTGTATAAAGTGTACATACTGTATAATGTGTACCACGCAAAGTTATGGCAATGATGTCAAGAATAGGTATTTGCTATCTGAATTTGGCTGCTACACGGGACACCGGGGTACCAAAACCAAATATTTTTCATAGTGAAGGAGAGTCTTAACATAACCCTAGAAAATTGTGAGGTTATATTTCTAAACAAAAAAATTTAAAAAAGTATTAATCATATTATTAATATGTTAAGTGGATATCTTAAAAAACTCGCAAAAAGGATTCCTACGCCTATTCTCGTAGGATCTGGTGCATTAACAGTCTACGGTTTTGCATGTCTCTGCAAGTAGGTAAACTGATATTTATTTGTTAGTCAACATATTTTATTATCATTTTTTTTTATTAACCAGGGAAATAATAAGCGGTAAATTATATTTTGGCAACAAAAATGCCGAAGGAAAGGTTATAATAGTTACTGGAGCGAATACAGGAATAGGGAAAGAAACAGCATGGGAATTAGCAAGTAGAGGAGCAAAAGTATTTATGGCATGTCGAGATATGAATAAATGTGAAAAAGTAACTTAAAAATTACATTCATTGAGGACCAAACTTATTTATTAACCCTTTTAGGCTAGGGAAGAAATAGTAATGAAAACAAAGAATAAATATGTTTATTGTCGATCATGTGATCTTGCCTCTCTAGAATCTATTAGAGAATTTGTAAAAACATTTAAAAATGAACAAGATCGTTTAGATGTATTAATTAACAATGCTGGAGTGATGAGAACACCTAAGGGCACTAAAACGAAGGATGGCTTTGAAATGCAAATAGGAGTAAATCATTTAGGACATTTTCTTTTGACTAATTTACTTCTTGATCGTTTAAGAGTAAATATGCTAGTTAGTTGGTGACACTTTTATATTTGATTATTTCAGAATTCAGCACCTAGTAGAATAATAAATGTATCAAGTGTAGCTCATAAAAGAGGTAAAATCAATAAAGAAGATTTTAATAGTGATCAGGAGTATGATCCAGGCACTGCTTATGCCCAAAGTAAACTGGCTAATGTATTATTTACTAATGAATTAGCAGAGAGATTAAAAGGTATTTTCATGTTTAAATAAATAAATACCTATTTTTTCAACATTTGGTAATAATTCTAGACACTGGTGTAACTGTAAATGCTGTTCATCCAGGTATAGTAGATACAGCCATTATAAGACACATGGGATTTTATAATAGTTGGTTTGCTACAATATTAATCAAACCTTTTGCGTGGCCCTTTGTGAAAACGCCTAAATATGGGGCACAAACAATAATTTATTTAGCCGTAGATCCTAAAGTTGAAAAAGTAACTGGGAAGTATTTTTGGTAAGGCTTTTATGTAATAAGCTTTTTTTCTATTTTTATTTGAATTTTTTAGTGATTATGAGGAAGCAGAAGTGGGAGAATCAGCAAAAGATCAAGATTTAGCCAAATGGTTATGGAAAGTAAGTGAAAAATGGACTAGATTAACACACTGATATTTTCTTTATAAGCTGTGTATATATTTTTGATATTTAATAGATTCTGTTTCAATATTTTGGGAGTTTAGAAATCATTATCACCATCACCTAAGTCATGATTGTTGTTAGATTTCTCAGGGCATATCAGTGAGTCAATTAACTTCTTGCCATTGATGTTTACTATAGAGCAAGACCTACTGTATAATGCCTGGGCTAATTTAACGTCTTTGACATTTTCTGCGGGGTTTTTAATTTCACAATCACTAAAATTTGTGAAGATATAATAGAAAAATCTTAAAGAACAATACTGTACCTAAAATAACATCCTGTTATATCAGATAGGCTAGGTTCGACAGCAAGATAGACAATATTTTGACTTCCTTGTTTGGGTGTTTTCAAAAATAGCCATATCCAAGGCCATAAATATATTTTAGACCATTTGTTTCCATTTAGAAATATATTTCTTAAATGTCCTGTTCCTCTTACCAGGCCGGGACAGACAGAATTACAGGTTATTTTTGTTTCTTAAAGAAATAAATAAAAAGTATATTTGAGTTTTTTTGTATTGGACTTACTGCTTAGCAATGAGGCTAAATATCTAGTAAAGATAGTCAGAGCTAATTTGCTTTGCGCAAATGCGTCTTTTTCGTTAAAATTCTTTTCCATATTCAAATTATCCAGTTTTAATTTCCCTGTAAAGTGTGCTACAGCAGAAACATTAATGATTCTTCCATTAGTGGATTTGTTTAAAAGAGGCAGTAGAAGATGGGTTAGTAAAAATGGACCTAAGACGTAAAATAATAATTGCTTCAAGCAGGATGGTTATATTCTTTTATCTACCTAAATAATTGGTAACAAGAGTTAATTCATTTCCTTCAGCTGTCTTTTGAAACGGTTGAAATATAACTGCAGCATTATTGATTAAAACATCGATTTTTTCGTACTCTTCTATAATGCGTTTCGCAAAGCTTTGTATACTAAAAAAATCAGATATGTCAAGTTGTATTACAGATATTTTAAATTTTTCATTTTTCTTCTTGATTCCCTCGAATATTTTATTAGCTTTATCGATATTTCTTACAGCAAGAATAACATGTCCACCTTAAAAAAATAATTTTTAATAATACTTTATCTTTAAAAAAATGCTTTTATTACCTCGAGATATAAGATCTTTTGCTGTTTCTAATCCTATACCGCTAGTACTGCCTGTAATAATAATTATTTTATCATCAATTCTATTTCTGCTAACGCAATCAACACCACCAACGTAGAACCTGTAAAATAACGCAAAAAACTGTAATTTATTAATTATTTTCTTATTTTAATGTCAACCTTATTGCATAAATAATACTGATGCATATAGAGAGAATATATGGCCACCAACTATTAATAAAAGTTTCAAAATCATCAGTAAAAATATCGTACATATTTCAAATAAGTGTCAAAATAGAAGAAAATTAGCAAGTATAGGTAGGTATACCTGCTTTCAAAATTTTCATTTTTGAAATCTCTTCAACTGCTTCCTGAATATTTAATGCTACATGGCACGATAAATTAATAATTTAAAATTTATTCGGAACTATATTTGACACATAACGAGATTAAATTAATTCGTTAATTAAATCCACATCCAACTGAATTCAAATTAAAATTTAAAACTAGCAGAGCTAGTAGAGTGGGCTTTCCTGCAGTGTATATTTGGTTGCCTGTACACTCAAACATAATATATGGCTGCCTGTTTTTCCTTTGATTCTTTTTTGAATTAAATACAGTTAAATAAGGAAGGAATAAAAAAGGATTAATGTTAAAACACACTTGTATATTTCAATTTTTTATTCGGATTTCTTTTATAATAACTAAAAACGATAACAACAATACTGTTTAAAATTATAAATAAAAACAATAGTATAAAATTAAAATAGAACTGATTTTTATATACAAGTCGGACTAGTTAACAAAAAATACAAATCGCGAACACCCTATACGATATTTTAAAAACAAATGTGCGTTTTATAAGTGACCCTGTTTATTGAGATATAAAATTATACCGATTTTTCACTACCTTTTACATACTGCTACAATTTTTTCCATATTAACAGGAATATTGCTTATTTCAAATAAGATTTGATTAGGCTATATGTGTATACTTTTATGTGAAAATACTGAAAATGTAGGCCGTAGTGATTATTAAAAAAAAACAATAAAGAAAATTGGATTCAAAACAGCTTATTGTTTATGTTTTGAAACGTTTTTCTTTATGTTTTTTGTTATAAAGTTTGGTAACTAATTTACTCCAAAATCTATTCTATTTCAGCTGAGGTAACTACTTATATGCATATAAAAAGGATTTTATATTTCTTGGCTTTGGAAAAATATACAGTGTCGTTCGTAGTTCATGCATTTACATTTACTTAATTTAACTTCTTTTATTATGGCTTCTATGAATGACACTGTATGTACATAGTGACAAAGATATATATATCATGAAACAATATTTCATATATTAAAGTAATAGAAATACCTAAAAAACTAAAAAGAAAAGAACAAGCAGATGTAGGGAGACTTTTTTGAAGCTCATTGTATAATATGAAATAAAAATTATTAAAATTTCAGCTACTCGTGTGGAAGGTGTCTTTAGTTCTATATAAAAAGATTTCTTCATACTAAATACTACGGTATGATATATATAAAATAAATAACAAAGTTCAATGTACATTATACAATATTATGATACAGGAGAAAATGTTTTATTCTTTACAAAAACGCATATATAAAGGCATAGAGTGTACAGTTGGTTTATTAAACAACTGACCATAGTTAAATAACTAATATTTACAGAGTATCTTAAGATTTGGAATGATTTCTTTCTTATTATAAATGTAAAATAGGTTGGAAAAAAGAAATATTTTCTTATTGTAGATAGTTGTGTATGAGTGATGAGTGATCTTTTGAAGTATAGAAAAAAACCTTTAACAGCAATGTCTTATTTCAGATGACTTAAGCCTCATACTCATTATTCGCTTCGACAAACTAGCCTTATAGTGCGACGATTTTGTGACAAAATTTGCAAATTGGTTGAGCTTACAACTATTTGGCAACCTCGGTAACGTATAGTAGTGTGAAGCCGCACACGAATCGATTCGAATGCAACTACAATAGTTTGCAATCAGTCACAAATGTGTTGTTCGTGACTATTTTCCGCGGTCGCAGTTGCGTTGCAATTTTAAAGTTGCTCAATTAATGAAGTCTTCATCACCTGATTCTCAATATTCGGAATTTGATATAGTATTTTTTTAATTGAACTGCTACATCACCAAATGATTAAAACTGATTCAGAATGACTTGCATCCGTGTGCGTGCAGGAGTTTCATTTTAGTTGGAACCTAATTGTAAACTAGTTTGCAACTTTTGTCTCAAAATAGACGCACCATGGGCTCTGGGCTTAAATCAGAGAATAGTGAGTATGGGGATTTAATCAAGGAAATTAGTTGTCGATGATACGTTACAGGAAATACGTACTGTTAAAGGATTTATTATAAATATGTTTTTATAATACTATCTAATGGCTATGCTGATATTGCTTTAATATTTCACGTTGATACCAGTATTCAGTAAAATTATTGAGACTAGTAGTAGATATACTGTCCATTTCGTTAATATCACATATGTATCGGACATAATTACTATAGTTTCTAAAAAAATAATGGAGAGAATATATCCCTAAGAGGAGAGGCAAATAGAACAGATGTATTTAGAAAATTAGACAATTTAAAGTACAATGTACAATAGATCAAAATAATTTTCTTATCTTCATTAATCAGTTGAGCGAGACCGAAAGATCTAGTGATGGGAAAACCGATTAATTTCAATAATCGAGTACTCATTCTAGGATTGCTTGTGTTCTCGTAAGTGAGGAGTTGCATCACTCGTTCATAATCGAGCGATGTCGGCTATTTCAATAATCGAGTACTCGAGCGAATTTTCGCTCGAGTTATCCCATCACTAGAAAGATCAGATGAGAGAGGCTTGAATGCTCGGTCACACAAGAAAATTGAATTTTCGAATCAAAATTACCAATTTTTCAGTAAATAAGAAATAATATGGTAACACCACATAATCTACATCCAATTGTGTACAGGGAAATGGGGGTTACAGTTTAAAAATCTTACAATTTTATCATTACTTTTTTTGGACACCCTGTATAAAATAATATTTTAGGAAATGCATTTTATAAAACCATGCAACATTTATAGATAACTTTTCTTTCATATCTTTGTCACCAACGACGATATTGACTTTCTCCATGCGGGAAAGTCAATATCGTCCACCCTGCATGTTGAGTCTAAATATTATAAAAGTCAAAACATTGTTTTTGGCTTTTATTTAATTTGTTTTTAGGGCCTTACAATTTGGAAAATTTAAGAATTTATAGCAAATTTTAGAATATATAAACATTTACAGGGTTAAATGTCTTGGTTGTACAAGAAAATTGATTTCCCCAATCCCTGTTTTTGATCGATTTTTAATTCATCGAGGTTCAATTATTTTGATATATTCCAAATAAATTGTTTAATTTTCTGTATTATAACTAATGACTCCAACCTAAATTTTATCTCTTGTTCGCAACCATAATATGTACAGTCGAAGAACCCATAACTACATACATGATTTGGTATCGATTATTGCAATTAAAACGTCCAATCACTAACCAAAGCACTAATATTACGTCAATGCCAGGTCAGCACTGATTTGAGACAGTCTCCTAAGATCCCTACGCCCTCTATTTGAACCCCTGCTAGTCCCACTGGTGTGATTACTGTACCCCGAGTCCGAACCCAAGGCAGAGTCCTGGGAATACGGCTTGGGAACAGGCCTAAAGGTAGCTAGATGACTTATAACTGGAACTGTCTCATATGGGTTTGGTGTTTGACCCATACACTGTATTCTTTGGGCTATACTAGGTATTTGCCTTCTTGGGGGCGGAGGTTCAACGCTTCCAACCCTAGGATAGAGCTGCAATAAAGCATCTAGCAACATTCCTTCATGGAACTCCTGTTTTCTCCTCTCCAAACTCCTGTTTCTATTTTTATTGTTTGGTAAAGGAGGTAAAGGTTCGTGAGGTCTTCTAAACCGAGGTACCTCTCGTCTAGTAGTACTCAAACAATGCCTGTAAGGTGGTGGTGGTATGTTTAACCTCCTACGATCCGTATCACCAAGACTTAGTTCATCCTCAGCAAACTCGTCTTCGCTTGGGTGGTCGATGTCGGTTTCTGGATCGCTTAATTCTTCGTAAACAGGGTTGTAGAGGTCCTGTGAGCAGTATGGGTCGGGACCAGGGGACGAGCAAAGAAATACTGGTGGATTTTGAGAAATAGGGTAACCGCTGGGGTAGTGGATGTTGTTCTTAACGTCGATCATCTGAAACAAAGACCATAATGAAGATTAGCTTAGTTTTCTATATAATATTCTATATATAATATACAGAGTGTCTCTTAAATAAGTGCGTAACGGTGGTAGTGTCTTTAATTATTTTAACCATAGAAAATCATCCATTTGCAAATATGTTGAAAAATGTAATTTTTCCTTTGATATTTTCAGAGAAATATAATAAAATATATATTCGCAGGTTGATTCTCTTGAAATTTCATTGAGTTCCATGGGCGTAGCCATGGTGGGTAACGTGTCAATTGCCCCACCCTAGCTAGCTGGCTCTTGTACAGACATTTTAATATTAAATGATAATATAATTTTTATGTCCATCAATATCGAGACGGTAACATTAAGAGAGTAAAGCGGTGTAAAAAACTAAAAAAGAAAATATACTAGCGAAATAAAATGCATTTTATATGCAATGCGTGTATATTCGGGGTGCGATAAAAGCAATGATAACATTGATAATAGCGGTGATAATATCTATTCAAAGGTAACCATTTTCGATTAGTTTATGTTGGAGTTGTGATACTAGTCAAGTAAAACCTGATAAGTGATTTTGGTGAAGAATTTTTAAAGTGATCTTCAAATTCTAGAAAATGGTATATCAAAAAGGACAATAAAATTAACAATGATAAAAACGATAATCAACACATTTCGGAATAAAATTAGAGAGTTTCTTCATTTATAAACTACCGTATGGTCGAGAAATATCGGCGTCAGCGATGGCTATGAAATGAAGATCGCTGTCATTTTATATGTAAATTTATATGGGAAATGTCATCGATCGTCATTTCCCAGCCAATTGGACGTAATTTTTTTTCGATGATACGGTATTTAATTCATTTAAGAGACCCACATGCAAAAAAAAGCAAAAAAAAAGCCTGCAACCTTTGATTATACAGGGCTGGCATTTTTGGTCTTTACAGAAATTCTTAAAAACTTTACAGAAATTTTAATTTTTCTACCCAAGATTTTGTAGAATTTATTTTTCCAAAGCAGACCTACAAAATATACATGGACTTGTAATATTCCGTGGACATAGATGAACTACGTATTTTTTGAATCAAAATAAGTTAATTGCACATAGTTTACCTTTATACAAAAGTGCTTCGTTTGTCCGTTAGAGGGCATCAATAAAAAAACCCGAACGTTAATTAATTTAAAATTTATTTTTTTTTGAGCTTTTTATGAAGCTTATTGTCAAATAAAATTTGTGATACTAATATAAAATTCCATATTTTCGCCAACTAGATTATTAGAGTATAATAGATTTTATGAGTCTCCGTAGGGGGGCTTGATGTGGCAAGTTTTTTTTTCATTTTTTGGAAATCATTTTTTCGGATTTTTTTTTACTTATAAAGTATGCGCGGGGGCGTTTTTTTACATGAGATAAAAAATATAGTAAATACCAGAATGACCATTGTACGAAATAAAAATCAGTCGTCGCTGGACTTATGTAAATAAGGTGTTTTCACCCTTACACACACAGTTTTCACCCTTCCCGTACATTTTCTTGATTTTTGTGAAAGTCAAATGTTAAAGCAATTAGCAAAATATAGCCACCTAAAATTTCATCCTTAAAATATCTTAAAAACTGTGTTTAGTTTTTTTAAAGTTTGATGCCCTCTAAGGTACAAACGAAGGACTTTTGTATAGAGGTAATTTGTGTCCAATGAACTTATTTTGATTCTAAAAATACGTAGTAGTTCTATGTCTACGGAATATTGGGACATCCTGTATATATTTCAACTAATTTCAACTATATGTTGGTTTTTTCAGTTTATTTTAAAACGATTACATACATCTTTTGTCTAGAGCACTTATTTACGAGCCACTCAGTAGATATAAACTTATACCGGGTGCGTCTTAAAAGTGGCTTACCCGTAAAACTTTTTATTTTTTCAGATTAACAAACGAGATTTGGTACGTTAGTATATGACATAAATTAGGATTGATTGACGTATTCAATTGTTTTTGGTCACTTCCTGTTTCACCGGAAATGACTACAACTTTTTAAATGACACCCTCGCTATATTTCTTATATTTTCGATAGAAAATGACACTGTGAATAGAATGAAATATTATATTGAATAACTTTTGACATTTTCGCATGTCGTTGCTGTAAGGTCAAAACCTCGTATCTCCAAATTTTGGTTTCGAGTTACGAGTGTAAAATATTTCAGTAAATATGTCCGTGTTTTATGTAACACCTCGTATCAAGATTAGATGTTATTCGGATGCGCAGTGAATATAACATAATTTGAACATAACGAAATTTTGACTCGAAATACAAAGTACAGTACGTCTGTACGTTCTGAGGCTACGGGATATCCGTGAGAGGGGAAACGATATTCTCGCGATGTTTTTCGTAAAACATTAGACGACGCGTCCCATCAATAAAAATTCGACAAATTTGCAAGTAGCCAATAAAATGAGTGGGCAGAGCGATTTGCGGTGACGTACTCAAGTCGACGTATAAAATATATTGCTGTTTATTTAAATGTTTTTTGTCCGCATTCCTTTCATAGACACAGATCCAGCAGACGAACTGTATCTGGTACCAAATTATTTCTATAAAAATGCTTTTTCCAAATATGCTAATGAGCCACCCTTGTTCCATTTGAAAAAATTGAGATATGATTAAAAATACGATTTGGGCATCTTTTAACCGGCCAGGATGAGACACGAAAAACATTAGACGATTAAAACTATTTTTCCAAGGTTCCTTCATTACAAATTAGTGTTTTTAACACAGTCATGGCACTCTAGATTGAAATTTAAAATACGACTTTTTTTAAACGAAAATGTCCAAAGTTGGCACATTGTATTGTATTGTATTCAGAGTGTCATTTTCTATCGAATACAGTCGAAATATTCCGAGGGTGTCATTTAAAAATCAAATGCTCATTTCCGGTGAAACAGGAATTGACCAAAAACAATTGAATACGTCAATCAATCCTAATTTACCTATGTCATATATTAGCATACCAAATCTCGTTTTTTTATCTGAAAAAATAAAAAAGTTATAGGGGGTGAGCCACTTTCGAGACGAACCTGGTATTAGGGTATAACCACAGTATAAGCTAGTGATGAAACGAATTTTTAAACTAGAATGCGAATGCGAGCTATCAACGAGTCATCTCGTTCTTGGAAGTCAACGTGTTAATTTACCCAATGTTATGTCATTACATTTTATGTATTTTTTCAAGCGCTGATATTCGCAAAATATTCACATACATTTTGTGAATGCAAATATAAAAATATATGCGAATATTCGCGAGTGCGACTGCAAATAACACTAGTATATCCTATTAAGCTTTTTCTCAATATTTATTGTGCAATGATCTTTTCAAACGTAAACAGACCGCGATCCGGTCGCGTTAGTTCCAAGAAATAAGGGTGAAGTAAGGGCTGAAAATTAAAACGCTCCGGGATAAAGCAGCAAACTGTAAACACGTATATCGGATTTAATTAAGGAGATAAGAAAGTTTAGAAGCTGCAGCCAGCGAGGCTGACGGCAAAAGGAGAGGTCTGAGCACGAGCCACGAGCCAGTTCGTGCAGAAGCTCGATTGCAGATTTTGTATAACTGCTGTTGCTGTTCGCTGCGGCATAGGGTCATGGTTTGGAAAAGAAAAGAATAGAGAGTGAGGGATCTAGAAGAGCTTGGAAACATTAACTTTGGCCGCGAACTGAATACAAATCTACTGATTGTTTAAATCCCTTAAAGAGATAGAAATGAATATCTTTTGAAAAAAAAAAGGATTATTATTACACTCAGATGATTTTAGCCCTATTTTCATTAATTTTTTAGCAAACTGTATATAATTATATCAACTTTAATTCGTAACTAAGTTTTTTATAAACTTTAGTATTTGGCATATTATAGAGGGTTAATCGAGGGGTTGTTTTTTACCCTAACTTTAAAACAGCCTGTGCAATAATTTCGTGTGTATATTTTCCTAAAATATAATTTTACGGTCAAAACCATGACTCCTGAGCATTTTGTTTTTTGATTCATTTCAATACATGCTTTGGTTAATTTTTAAGAGCGAAATAAACTGATCGCGATCAATTTGCATTTTTTTCAATTACCGTTACTTCGGATGTAATTTTTAATTTGATAAAATGGTTTTGGTGACTATTGTCGTAACGTCATATTACGCTGTATTGGACAATCTGTATTAAATTAAAAAAAAAACGTTAAAGACTAACGATATAACAGAAAACATCTGTCAAAAATACTCTAATACTTTGTGTTGCCTGCCTTGGCTGCTATAACTGCCTGTATACGTCCGTTCATACTGTCATTGAGGCTGAATATATCTATCATATTGCGTTATGCTTTCCCATTCTTCTTTAAGAACCAAGGGAAGTTTATTTAATGAAGCTGGTACCGCTTCGCTACCTCTAACCGTCCTGCCAAGCATTTCCCAAACGTCGAACATGATAGGCAGTTCATAGTAGTATAATATAGTTCACAATTCACAATAATCACCAAAGCCGGCTTGTCATATTGAAAAATAACTTCACAAAGAAAAAATTGGAAATTGTTACTGGCAAGTTCATTTCGCTCTTAAAAATTAACCAAAGCATGTATTGACATGATCCAAAAAATAAAATTCACAGGAGATATGGCTCTGACCGTAAAATTATGTTTTAGATAAATTTACACACGAAATTATTGCACAGGGCGTTTTAAACTTAAGGTAAAAAAACAACCCCCCGATTAACCTTGTATATGTCAAATACTAAAGTTTTTAAAAAAACTGAGTTTACGAATTAAATTGATATAATTACATACAGCGTGCTAAAAAATTCATGAAAATAGGGCTAAAAATAACAAAAATATAACACTTTAAATTTGACCGAAAATTTCTCCGTTGCGTTTTTTTTTTGCATCTCAGTGTATATCGGTATCGGAAATTTGAGACACCCCGTAAATACAAAGTATATAAGTGTTTATTTTCAAAATTTTTTTTTTTATAAAATCAACAAGGCCAAAACAATTGCACCTCTATATTACAAACCATGTTTATAAAATTAATACACTTTACATAAATACCAGATGTTATAGACAATAGTTACTAAGCTTGAGACTTGTGTTAAAGCCTTAAACAAAACACAGATGGCATACATACAAAGGCGAGGAAGATGTAGAGACAAAAACAAGCTTTAAAAAAGCACTAAAAAAATATAAAATAGTACTTAGAGTATGTCCTCGTCAGAGTATGACTGTCTTGTGTGTGGATCAGTTTTGAGTTTATCCCGCATTTGGTGAACCAAAGGATGTGCCTTTGAATAAAAAAAATAACTCAAAATCTAAATAATAATAATCTTACACCGAAGACCTCTAAAGTTAAAGGCTTCAATCCTTACCTCAATAGAAGGTGCCACTATATGTCCACCTGTGAGTTGATGGTGATGATGATGTACAGGGGTAACAATGTTACGTCTAGGCATGACATCATTCAAGTCTTCGTATAATGCTGCTGTGGCAGTAACGTCACGGTTATTCTGTGGTGAATTTTTGCAGGGCAGAAGATTTTGTACTCTTTTATGTCTGAAAAAAAAGAGAAAAATCAATAAAAATTCGTACAAAAAGATTGTTCAAGAGGTTTTATACAAAAATTAATCAGAAATTATATTTAAGGGATTTTTTAATTAGAAATAGGGAAGAAGTTGTTTATATTTCAGTTAATTAATGAAACGTCTACACCCTATATCTCCGAAACTAAGCATTTTGGACATACATTTATACAAACTTTTTTACTTATTTTTATCTGAAAGAGTGTTCGGTGGCGTAGAGGTACAGGCTCTCGTCTACCAATCTCAAAAATATAACCGTGAAAATATTTGCACTTATTTAAGACTCACCCTGTATAGTTTTATTTTTCTGTTAATTCATCAAACAAAATAAAATACGTTTATTGCTTCGTATACAGACGGTGAGTCAAAACAAGATGTCTGTTTCTCAGGCTCAGTTATATGAAATTAAAACTCTGTATTTTTATATCACAAACATAAATAAACGTAATTTTTTATGAATATTAAATTTTCCATTTAAATGAATCTATAGTTTTTCAACTTGTCTACTTCTACAAATCTAAATCAGATATGTTGGAAAAGAACAATGGAATATAAACATTTCCATTTCACTGAAACTCATTCACAGATGTTGTTAAATCTGTATTTATTGCTAGCTTTAATCAGAGAAAATAAAAAAATATATATTTTTCCCGCTAAAATATTTTATGAAAGCGGACGAATGCAAATATTTTTAAACAACAGAACAATGCCTCATTCCGGCTTTATTTATTTAAAATATTTTACTATTTCTAAAAAACACTATACAGTAGTCCTCCATTTTACGCGGCGGTTATGTTCCTTGAAAACATCGTGTAAAGAGAAACCGCGTATATCGAACAAACTTTATATTATATAAACTATGTTGTAAATACATAATATATTATGAACACATACCATACTAAAGAAGAACGCCAACTCTCGTGTATTTTTTAGTGTCAAATTTAAAGTGGCGCCATCTAGTGAGCCAGTAATGTGGGTATTAAACCTGGCGGAAAATTTGAATATACCATATTTTATTATTTTTATGCAAATTATTTCAAATGTAGATACAAAAGGATAGGTATTATTTTTAAAAAAATGTGTTAAAATATTGTAGTGTCGGTCACTTATTTTACAGATACAGATTACAATACAGATAAAAATAAATTCAAACTATAAGATAGGTATTTATTAATAAAGCTAATATAAATAAGTAATCTACTTTGAAATAGTTAGGTTAGGTTAGGTTGTAAAAAAACTTCTTCGAGATAGTTTTATGGGTTCATTATTTTTTAGAAAAATAAGCGTAAAAGTAACTTAAATATTCATAAAATAGAATTATTTACAAAAATTATTGTAATACCAAACTGGGCATATCTTGTAAAAAATAAGTAGGTACCCTTATGTTTTTTATCACAAGCTACTTTCCTCACCTGTCGCAATAAAGATAGGTATAAAATCACAAATCCAGTGGAAAAATACATTAATTACAACAATTACTGTCCTCCATTCACGCAGTTGTTCAGCTCGGAACTGTCCAAGAACGCGATACTCTCACTCCATTCAATTGAGTCCTAAAGTTTAGAACTGTTCCGCGCCATATGGAGGCACCAGGCTATCGCGCACAGCTCCGTTCAGAGCCATTCTGAGTAGCCCAGGGCGTAAAGCTCTTGAACTTGAAATACGCGAATGGAGGACAGCAAATGAAGACCGAAAGTTCGGAATTAATACTAAAGAGCTGATGATTTACCAGTATCACATTTGGAAAAGTGTGTGGTTTAAATCAGAAGTAAAAGAAACAAACTATTATATATCCCTTTTGGTCAGTTTTTAGGCAACTATAAAAACTTAATACGCCATCTAGCACACCAGGAAATAACTATCTCAAAAAACAGATCATTCAAGGTCGTATATCTTAGTTGACAAGTTGACTGGCTTTGATTATGAAGAATATGTCTACAAGTATGTATGAGAACATTAGATTCCATAAACATAGACATAAAAATGTGTATGTTGTATATATGAACATAAATACCGTATGATCGAATAAAAACGGCGTCAGCGATGTCTATGAAATGAAGATCGCTGTCATTTTATATGTAAATTTATATGGGAAATGTCATCGATCGTTATTTCCCAGTCAACTAGACGCCGTTTTTTTTTCGATTATACGGTACAATGTATGGTTGCCAATGCAGCAAAAAAATGTAGTATTAATACAACTGCGTATAAATATGTAAACCGCGTAAAAAAGTTACTGGTGTCAAAACTATAAACGCGTACTAGCGAAATCGCGTATAAATATGTCGCGTAAAACGAGAGACTTGTGTATAACAAAAAAAATCCTATATTAAGTACCCTAATCTCAACAATACATAATTCATATGTTTCTTTCCTTTTTTTACTTATTTTAAATTTTATAAGCTTCAAAGTCCTTATACACCCTGTATAACACATATATTATGATGTGCTACATCATAATACAGAATACAGAACAAATACTCTCAAGTCAATTCAACCTAATATACAAACTTTTCCCAATTTTTTTTTTCAAAATTCAGTCAGTTGTAAATTTCAAGCCTGATATAATAATAAGCGCCCATGTCCCCGAAAAAAAAAAGAAAACATCCCCAATTTCACAGTACAGCACCCCCACATATATTCCTTTTGAACATTAGAATGCTTGGTGTCCTGAGGGATAAAAAAGGGATCCGGAAATAGTAGGGGATAGGGGGGTAAAGCGACCGGTGGCGAAATAATTAATAGGGGAAAGCGGTTATCGTGAGGACCGTGCCGGAAAGTCATTAGAGTGGTCCCGGAACGTACCCCGGAACTGTGAGAAGTTATCAAGGGAGGTGAAAAGGAAATACTCCGGGGATAGGCTAGGGGATCATTTGTCTGAAAATTGGTGAATAAGATTTGCCAGGTCATAGAGTATAGTTTTGTACGAAAAAAGAATTAATACAGTATATAGTATACCGGGCGCGTCCCAAAAATGGCTCACCCCTATAACTTTTTTATTTTTTCAGTTAAAAAATCGAAATTTGGTATGTCAGTATATGACATAAATTTAAATTACTTAAATTGATTGACGTATTCAATTATTGTTTTCGGCCATTTCCTGTTTCACCGGAAATGACTACAACTTTTGATTTTTAAATAGCACCCTCGGTATTTTTTTACTTTTTTCCATATAAAAAATAACATTCTGAATAGAATGACATACATACGTCAACTTTTCACATTTTCGCATATGGTTTATTTGAAATTATAACTTGCGGTTTGTAACGAAAATTTTACTCGAAATACCAAGTGTGTGGTATCAAATTATTTGTAAAAAAATGCTTCGTAAAAAAATTATTCGTAAAAAAAGGACAAGACACTAAAACATTAGACGATCAGATCTATTATCAAGGCTTCTTGATTAAGAGTTAGTGTTTTTAACATAGCCCGGCACTCTAGATTGAAATTGAAAATACGATCTTTTTTAAAGCGAAAATGTCAAAAGTTGACATATGATCATTAGCATATTTGGAAAAGGCATTTTTTTACTAATAATTTGGTACCACACGCTTGATATTTAAAGTCAAATTGTCGTTATGAATCACATGTTTCAGCTTCAAATAAACCATATTTGAAAATGTCAAAAGTTGAGATATGATATGTCATTCTATTCAGAGTGTCATTTTCTATCAAATAAAGTAAAAAAATACCGAGGGTGCTATTTAAAAATCAAAAGTTGTAGTAATTTCCGGTGAAACAGGAAGTAACCAAAAACAATTGAATTCGTTAATCAATCCTAATTTATGTCGTATATTAACATACCAAATCTCGTTTTTTCATCTGAAAAAAATAAAAAAAGTTATAGGGGTGAGCCACTTTCGAGATGCACCCGGTATAGTCCCCGTTTTACTCGGGGATTGCGTTCCTTCAAAACACCGCGTAAATCAAAACAGAGTATATTGAGACAAACTTTTTGTAACATGAACCATACAGAGTGTCTTAAATATGTGCAAATATTTTTATCGACCTCAGAAACATGTCTGAGTTTTTTTCGTAAAAATGAAAATTTTGTTTGGAAAATTTTAAAATTTTCAGTAAAAATAATATTATCTTGATAATATGGCAACATCGGAGGTAGATAAAATTTAGAGGAAGAAAAAACAGAAAAAAAACAGAAAAAAAACCAGTTTTAAAAAATCATTGTTTTTTTCCTTCCTCTCCAAGTAAAGCATTTTTATAAACCTTCAAAGTAAAATAACTTGGCTATTTTAACTTTCTATTTGAAAAACGGGTAAAGGGAAATATATTATTGCCTTTACCGAGATCTACCAGCCCTGACCCCCTCCCAAAACTGTCTTCCGGACAATCACAAAACAAAACTCTTCTGGACGTAGTGTCCAGTCGCTCCTAAATCTCGCATCCCAATATTACCCTTCAGGCACCCAGGGCTACGCCCTTCCCCAACACATAAGCAGGAATAAGAGCCGCCATTCTTCGGCCGCTGGTTCCTCGGAGGTGGACCGTTTTTAGTGGGTATTTTTCGAATCCCACACTGTCTAGGGGTTATTTCTATGACTGTCTTTCTCGAGATGGTCATGGAAATGATCACTATTCGTCTATAAAAGATTTTTAAACCACCCCCTCACCAAAAAAAAAAAAAAAAAAAAACTACCAGCCCTGAAAATATTTGAAATTTTTTAATACTCACCATGAATAGGTGTACACACAAATATGTAGGTATTATGAAGAATATTTCTACAAATATGTATGTATACATTATATCGGGTGCGTCGGTGCCTCTCAAAAGTTTATTTTTTCAGCTAATAACTGAACAATCAAAAGTTGTCAGGAACTGTACAACTTTTCATTTTTAAATGATACCCTCGACAATCTCGACAATCTGGATATGTCAACTTCTGACATTTTCGCATATGGTTTAATGGAAATTGAAACATCCGGTTTGTAACGACAATTTGACTCGAAATACTAAGT